CCTTCCTTGTGTGCGGTGTAGATGGTGATTGATCTTTTAGTGTCTTATTAGAAGTTGAATGTATCAAATATTCTATTTCATCAATTAGTATTGACTGTAATATGAAGTGAAGTCCCTTGGAAAAATAATAATTTTCTTATGAATTGGGATGTCACACCCCCTCTGCCAGAACATATGATGCCAATTTTCCTACACTATTGCACAATAATAAACAACAGATGCAACACATAGAAAAATTGTATATATCCTGTGTGGGTCATATAGCGATATTTTAAATGTTACTCTTGCACAAAATACTATATTATTCCAGAACCTATTATTTTTCATGCTCCTGATGCTTCTCTCTGTCATTTAATTTGGCAGGGAAAAAAAGCTAGATTTTTGTACTCGATCTTTTATTAGTCCTTGTGCACACTGGACGTTTTTACATCTGCTGTTTTTGACTTTTGGCATTTTTTTCTACAGCCAGTAAACTGCCCAGCATGTTATCCTATGTGTCCATGCATACATTTGCTTTATTCAGCGTTTTTTTGGCAGGGGCGTTTTTTGTCTGGAAAAAAAACCCTATAATTAGTGGGTTTCTAGAGGGGTTTTTTAGCTGAAAAAAATGCTCTAACGCTGGTAAAAGTGGCAAAACGCAGTAAAACATGGCAAAGAAGCTCTTTGGGGCATTTTTGAGCCAAAATTGTATTTATTTTTTGTCCAAAGAAATTCTAAAGAATGCTAACACGAAAAAATGTGACTAAACGCTAATGCAAAAACACGAAAAAAACTGGGAAAAAACTTTTTAACGTGACTACTGGCATTTTTAAAATGCCCAGTGTGCATGAGGACTTAAGCATAAATCTGCTGAAGGATTAGGAATTCTGGTACTAAAGAATTACTAGAGAGCTGCATTACTGCTTTAAAAATCCTCTATAGAGGGTATGTGACTCCCTTTCGATGGTCTAAAATATTCCCAGAAACATCAGCACTATGCTGGAGTCAAAGCCGGAAAGTGGGCACTGTTTTCTATATACTTTCCATATACTTTGGGATTGTAAAAGTGTAATGAACTTCTGGAGTGCAGTGTTTTCCATGTTATACAAGGTGACTGAGATGCTTATGCTACCTTCTCCACAACTAGCGATCTTATAACTATAGCTGTATACCCTGTCAAGTACAAAACTATTGTCACACATACAGTATTAAAATTTCCAGCAAGGCTAACAGTCGTCAATAGAGAGAAGGAAACCACTGCTCCTAATATCTCGGAGGTTATACATAGAGTAGAGTGAACATTCAATGTAGCTACAAGAAATTCTTGGCATACAATAACAAAGGCACCCATACCTTTCAATCTAAATGGTCTGAATGCCTACGATTATACTATAGCCCATATACTGTATGTGATGATTGATGCAACTTTTATGTCAAATAATATGATGTGCTTATCCAGGATTAACCGCCCTATAGCAGAAATATTGCTACATGGTGGCACGGCTGCACGAAATTATATATATATATATATATATATATATATATAAGTGTGATTTTGCATTTCCGGGAAGCCATTGGCGGCTTCAGCTGTCGATCACCAGGTCCTGGCCGAACGCCGAGTATCACTGACGGGGAAGAGGTCTGTATGTAAACAATACAGATATCTCCCCTGTCAGCTCCAGCACGATGCTTGGTATTGCTCTGCATAGTAGAGCAACACAAAGCAGCATGCTTACACTGTAAAACAGCACACAGTTAACCTTTTGATTGCCCCAGATATTAACCCCTTCCTGCCCAGTGTCATTAGTACAGTACCAGTGCTTTTTATTAGCACTGATCACTGTGACAGTTAGTCAGTTCCCCCCAATGTCAGAGTGCCCGCCGCAGTCCCGCTATAAGTTGCTGATCGCCGCCATTACTAGTAGAAAATTTTTTTTTTCCAGTATATATACCGCCATTTGTAGATGGTATAACCTTCATGTAAACCAATTAATTTACACGTATAGAGATTTTGTTCAGCAAAGACATGTAGCAGAGTACATTTTGGCCTAAATTTATGATGAAATTTGATTTTTTTTTTTTTTTTTTTTACTGGACATGTGTAATAGCAAAAAGTCAAAATATAGTTTTTTTCTCAAAATTGTCAGTCTTTTTTTGTTTATAATGCAAAAAATAAAAACCGCACAGGCAATCAAATATCACTAAAAGAAAGCCCCATTTGTTGGAAAAAAGGTCGTAAATTTAATTTGGGTGCAGTGTTGCATGACCGCACAATTGTCAGTTAAAGTAATGCAGCACTGCATCACAACAAATGGCCTGGTCAGGAAGGGGGGTAAATCCTGTGGAGGGCAGGTGGTTAAAGGTGCATGTTTGTCTTGTTTATTTAGTTTCAACTGTACTTGTGTGTTTTCTTTATAAACTTTATACCTTTGTATTTTCACATTTGCTTTACGAGATTGGATGGTATTCTTGAGTCTTGTACTGGAATATATAACAAAGTGGAACAACCGTATATACCGTGTTTGATATTGTTACTGTCATTGTGTAAATCTGTGAGCATGAATAAAAATTATTGAAATATATATAGCACCAACATTAAAAACATGAATAATGCAGGGCTAATTGTCTAATACTGTATGCACAATACTTATAAAATTACTTTGGAAGGATATATATTTCCAATGCACCCTGAAGCAATGTTACATGGCTGGCATATCTGTATGCTCTTACAGCAATGCACTTTAATGGATACAAAATAATTCTAACTAACTAGCTGGTATAATTAGAGCGTACATTATTTTTATGAACAGTTATAATATTCAGCATCTGTTCTCATTTGTAAACTGCTATTGTTTATAAGGCAATTAATATTGGAGACAAAGAAGCAATTATCATAAAGTATATTAGATATCACTTGACAAATATTGCTGTTTTGTGTTTTAAAGTCTAATTTTATAATCTTAACTATAGTGCTTTCCTTTTCTTAGTTTTTTTAATCTAGCTGTGCATAAATGATGTTTTGTTGGATAGAAATTCGCCTGTTATAGCATTTATATTCACAGAGCTGAATACTGAAGAGATTTGTACTCACATCCAAGTGCTTTAAATCATATGTTTAATTCAACATTGACGCAACTTTGTATTCCCTGTTTCTATGCGTATTTTAAATGGAATGTTATCCTGAAGCTCTCTTTTTCTCTTTCATAGATAGACACAGTTTTTATAACCGTCTGACTGTTTTTTTTTTTTATAATGGCTGTGTTAGTTAATTGGTTTGGGTACAGCTTTTCTCCAGCAAAAAAATGCTTTCAACCAGAGCAGAAGAAATGGTCTGATCTATTTTTTTAGCCAGTAAAAATCAAATTGCTTGCACTGCAAACTAGAATGGTTTTCAGATTAATTTTCTGATTCAGTAGTATGGAAAATCTACTTATTAATCATGTCTGCAATTTATTCCAGAGATGCTTATTTCTGGAGTTTTTTTTTTTTTTTAAGATTTATTTTTACCAATTTCAGTGTATTATGTGATGCCAGCACCAGCTATTTGGTCAACCATTTTTCAATAGTTCACAACACAGTAATTACCCACAGTAATAATTACCATTTTTTGTTTTGCATAATAAAAAGATGTTTGAGTTTTGATTAAATAAACCCAAAAAATATCAAGCCTTAAAATTGTGCCTGCAAAATGGGAAAAGTGATGCTACTTAAAGCGGAGTTCCACCTGAAAAAAAAAAAAAGTCAGCAGCTACAAAAACTGTAGCTGCTGACTTTTAAAATACAGCCACTTACCTGTCCCTAGGTCCAGCGGTGTCCTCACCACCACTGGTTTCACTGCCCATCTTCTCTCCCTGGTACCGACATCTTCAGTGTGGGCATCCAGCTGTGTTAGCTTGAGACTTCACAGCCGGATGCCCACTGCGCAGGCGCAAGAAGCGCTGTGCTTTGTGAATGACTCCGTAGTCTTCTGAGACCTGTCACGTGTCCCAGAAGACTATGGGGTGGGAGGGGGGAGGACGACTTCTGCTTCCGATGGCCTAGGTGATCGCAGCAGAAGTGGGAGCGGGTATCTGTCAAATTCGGGTACCCCCCCCCCCTGCTCCTTAATGGGGACTTCCCCTTTGTGGTGGAGCTCCACTTTAAACAGGTAACACTCTTTAACTTCTTCAGTACTGGGCACTTTCATCCCCTTCTTGCCCATGCCACTTTTTAGCTTTGATCACTGTTGCACTTTGAATGAAGACTGCATGGACTTGCAGCACTGTACCCATATGCAAGTTCAAGACAGATAGACTTTTCTTTTGGTGGTATTTAATCACCACTGGGTTTATTATTTGTTTGCTAAACAAATTAAAGACCACAAATTTTGGAGAAAAAATGTTTTTCTTCATTTCTGTTATAAAATTTTGCAAATAAGTAATTTTTTTCCTTCACTGGTGTGTGCTGATGAGGCTGCACTGACGGGCAGTGGTGAGGCTGACTGACGGGCAGTGGTGAGGCTGCACTGATGGGCACTGATGAGACTGCGCTGATGGGCACTGATGAGGAGGCACTGATGAGGCTGCACTGATAAGTGGCACTGATGGGCACTGATAGGTGGCACTGATGGGCACTAATAGGCAGCACTGGTGAGGAGGCACTGATGGGCACTAATGGGGCTGCCCTGCTAAGTGATAAGTGCCCTGATTATTAATGTCAATATCCCCTGTCAGAATTGGCAGTTACTGGCTTTCCTCTCCTCACACTGTGTGAGGAAAGGGCTGCTGTGATTGGCCATTTATCGTGATCTGTGATCAGCTGTGTCTGAAGGACACAGCGATTACAGAGCACACTGGATGTGTGCCCCAGTGGGTGTGTGGGGGGTGTGGTTCTGTGAGGGCATCTATAGATGCCCTTCCAGAACTAGCCGATTGCACTGTAGCCAACTTTTGGATATAGCTAGGGCCAGGTCTAACGTGTCTAATCTGGGGGTGCAGTAATAATTGTCATGGGAGGTCAGCAGGGCAGTGTACAAGCGGTCAGCAGGGCAGAGGATAGGGTCATCAGTTTGTAAAGCAGTGAACACAGGCCATTAACTTGTAGGGTGTTGTACAGGGGTATGCAGGGCAAAGAACAGGGGTCAGCAAGAACTAGGACAGGGGTCACTGCTAGCAGGGCAGAAGACAGGGGTCACTGCTAGCAGGGCAGAGGGCACGGGTCATTGCTGCCAGGGCAGAGGACAGGGGTCACTCCTGGCTGGGCAGAGGACAGGAGTCACTGCTGACAGGGCAGAGGACAGGGGTCACTGCTGGCAGGGCACTCAGCAGAGGACAGGGGTCACTGCTGGCAGGGCACTCAGAGCTCCTTCTCCCATCCCTGCACTGCACACAGCCTTGGCACAGGCAGCAAATAATTTCTTTACCACACACTACACATGGCTGAGATTGAATTTCCTTACACACAGCCACGATCTGCACAGTGTCTATCTGGCTACTTTAGCTGTGCTACCTTTCCAACCAGGGAATCTCGCAGGTCAGAACTACAACATAACAGACAGCTACACATTGTGTTGATTGAGGTCCTGTATAAGGGAATCTGAATCTGAAGCTATGTGCTGTGTGTCGAGCAGGAGATCTGCTGCCTTTGCCAAAGCTGTGTGCAGTGCATAGATAAGAGAAGGAGCTCAGCATAGTTGCCAACATTTTAAAAACATTTCCAGGGTCACATTTTTTCGCTGTGCATCTTTGTAGAAGGGGAATGTACTTTAATTAGGGATGTGGCATTAATTTAAAACAGGCAAGGTTTTGCAAGCAGCATATCATTAACCTAATGCTATACTTTAATCAAACATAAATAAGAGAGCTGTAGTTATGCTAGTGCAACATAGTGGCAGGCTAGAGCAGTATAGTGACAGTATAGCGGCAGGTAAGGGCAGTATAGTGGCAGGTATGGGCAGTATAGTGGCAGGTTAGAGCAGTATAGTGGCAGGTATGGGCAGTATAGTGGCAGGTTAGAGCAGTATAGTGGCAGGTTAGAGCAGTATAGTGGCAGGTTAGAGCAGTATAGTGGCAGGTATGGGCAGTATAGTGGCAGGTAAGGGCAGTATAGTGGCAGGTTAGAGCAGTATAGTGGCAGGCTGGGCAGTATAGTGGAAGGTTAGAGCAGTATAGTGGCAGGTATGGGCAGTATAGTGGCAGGTTAGAGCAGTATAGTGGCAGGTTAGAGCAGTATAGTGGCAGGCTGGGCAGTATAGTGGCAGGCTGGGATGTATAGTGCCAGATAAGGGCAGTATAGTGGCAGGTTATGGAAGTATAGTGGCAGTACAGTGGCAGGTAAGGGCAGTATAGTGGCAGGTTAGAGCAGTATAGTGCCAGGTAAGGGCAGTATAGTGGCAGGTTAGAGCAGTATATTGGCAGAATGGGCAGTATCGTGGCACGTTAGAACAGTATAGTGGCAGGCTGAGGAACTATAACGGAAGGCTGGGTCAGTATAGTGGCAGGTAAGGGCAGTATAGTGGCAGGCTGAGGAAGTATAACGGAAGGCTGGGTCAGTATAGTGGCAGGTAAGGGAAGTATAGTGGCAGGCTGAAGAAGTATAACGGAAGGCTGGGTCAGTATAGTGGCAGTGCATTGGCAGGTTAAAGCAGTATAGTGGCATTTTAGAGCAGTATTGTTGCAGACTGGGGCAGTAGAGTGGCAGGTTAGGGTAGTACAGTGACAGGTGAGAGCAGTAGAGTGGCAGGTTAGGGTAGTACAGTGACAGGTCAGAGCAGTATAGTGGCAGGCTAGGCTGTATAGTGGCAATGTAGCAGCAGGTTAGGACAGTATAGTGGCAATTTAGTGCAGTATAGTGGCAATATAGTGGAAGGTTAGAGCAGTATAGTGGACGTATAGTGGCAGGCTGGAGCAGTATAGTGGCAGGCTTGGGCTGTATGTAGTGATAGTGTGCTCAGCCACTTACTGCATGGCTGGAGATGAAGACTCCCCGGGGCTGGGCTGCTTTGTCCACTTCTCTTTTACCTTCTTGAGCTGTGAGATCAGTGTGAGTAAAGGAGTCTGTGGGAGGTGTGGAGGTGGCAGCCACACCTCTGGCCCTGCCCACCAACTATGGCTGCCTCGGGAGATAGTGAAGATTCCCAAGGGGCAGTTAAACCATATTAGATGACAAGGGAGAGGTATAGGCAGCCTCCCCCACCCCGCTGCCCCCCCTGCTGACCGGATGATCAACTTAGTTGGGTAGTACATTTACTGTGTTTATAAAGCTGCAAAGACAGGGAAAGTGCAGTCTGAATTACAGTGTGGAGGAGGGCAGAAGTTAGCTTGAGGTGAGGAAGCACCTGAATCTGGGGTGCGTAGCCCACCCTACAACCCCCTAAATCCCGCCATGGTTATAGCGCAGTCGACAAGTGGTTAAACCTTTCCAGCATATAATTTTAGAGTTAGCCGTAATTATTGGAGCTAGAATGATCCCTCTCACTAACCAATGTGCACTGTCATATCTAATATGTGTTACCAGATCTGTGTTTACAATTAAACATGTGTCCTAGTTGCACATACACATGCATATTTGCATGCCTGGTGAGGGTCCTTTAAACGCTTCCCACCCAGTCTATATCAAAATGACTGCCGAGCAGGAGCCTTCTCATCCTGGGTGGAAGTCATATGACATGCTTCCAGTTGCACACCTCCTGTGCAACCTAGCAGCCGCACTGCGACTGGATCTCTCACCTGCTGTGTCTACGAGATATATGATGATGTTGTACTGCTAAGGTGACAGTATGTAAAAAAAACTGTGAAAATTATTTTTAAAAACTCACCATGCCCCTTACTAAATATCTCAGACTGTCTGCTTTCCTAAAAGGGGTCATTTGGGAGATTGTTGTACTGTTCTGGCATTTTAGAACCTCAAGAAATTATATAGGCCATCACTACATCAGGAATGATCTGTTTTCAAATATATATATATACAGTCAGGTCCATAAATATTGGGACATTGACACAATGCTAACATTTTTGGCTCTATACACCACCACAATCCACCACAATGGATTTGAAATGAAACGAACAAGATGTGCTTTAACTGAAGACTGTGAGCTTTAATTTAAGGGTATTTACATCCAAATCAGGTGAACGGTGTAGGAATTACAACAGTTTGCATATGTGCCTCCCACTTGTTAAAGGACCAAAAGTAATGGGACAATTGGGGCAGCACAGTGGCTAAATGGTTAGCACTTCCGCCTGGCAGCACTAGGTTCATTGGTTCAAATCCCAGCCACGGCACCACCTGCCTGGAGTTTGCATGTTCTCCCTGTGCCTGCGTGGGTTTCCTCCGGGTACTCCGGTTTCCTCGCACACTCCAAAGACATGCTGGTAGGTGAATTGGATCCTGTCTAAATTGGCCCTAGTATGTGTATGTATGAATGTAAGTTAGGGACCTTAGATTGTACGCCCCTTGAGGGTTAGGGACTGATGTGAATGTACAATATATATATGTAAAGCGCTGCACAAATTGACAGCGCTATATAAGTACCTGAAATAAATAAATAAATTGGCTTCTCAGCTGTTCCATGGTCAGGTGTGTGTTATTCCCTCATTATCACAATGAGCAGATAAAAGGTCCAGAGTTCATTTCAAGTGTGCTATTTGCAATTGGAATCTGTTGCATTCAACTCTCAAGATGAGATCCAAAGAGCTGTCACTATCAGTGAAGCAAGCCATCATTAGGCTGAAAAAAACAAAACAAACCCATCAGAGAGATAGCAAAAACATTAGGCGTGGCCAAAACAACTGTTTGGAACATTCTTAAAAAGAAGGAACGCACCGGTGAGTTCAGCAACACCAAGAGACCCGGAAGACCACGGAAAACAACTGTGATGGATGACCGAAGAATTCTTTCCCTGGTGATGAAAACACCCTTCACAACAGTTGGCGAGATCAAGAACACTCTCCAGGAGGTAGGTGTATGTGTGTCAAAGTCAACAATCAAGAGAAGACTTCACCAGAGTGAATACAGAGGGTTCACCACAAGATGTGAGCCTCAAAAACAGGAAGGCCAGATTAGAGTTTGCCAAACGACATCTAAAAAAGCCTTCACAGTTCTGGAACAACATCCTATGGACAGATGAGACCAAGATCAACTTGTACCAGAGTGATGGGAAGAGAAGAGTATGGAGAAGGAAAGGAACTGCTCATGATCCTAAGCATACCACCTCATCAGTGAAGCATGGTGGGTGGTAGTGTCATGGCATGGGCATGTATGGCTGCCAATGGAACTAGTTCTCTTGTATTTATTGATGATGTGACTGCTGACAAAAGCAGCAGGATGAATTCTGAAGTGTTTCGGGCAATATTATCTGCTCATATTCAGCCAAATGCTTCAGAACTCATTGGACGCGGCTTCACAGTGCAGATGGACAATGACCCAAAGCATACTGCAAAAGCAACCAAAGAGTTTTTTAAGGGAAAAAAGTGGAATGTTATGCAATGGCCAAGTCAATCACCTGACCTGAATCCGATTGAGCATGCATTTCACTTGCTGAAGACAAAACTGAATCGAAAATGCCCCAAGAACAAGCAGGAACTGAAGACAGTTGCAGTAGAGGCCTGGCAGAGCATCACCAGGGATGAAACCCAGCGTCTGGTGATGTCTATACGTTCCAGACTTCAGGCTGTATTTGACTGCAAATGATTTGCAACCAAGTATTAAAAAGTGAAAGTTTAATTTATGATTATATTCCGTCCCATTACTTTTGGTCCCTTAACAAGCGGGAGGCACATATGCAAACTGTTGTAATTCCTCAACCGTTCACCTGATTTGGATATAAATACCCTCAAATTAAAGCTGACAGTCTGCAGTTAAAGCACATCTTGTTTGTTTCATTTCAAATCCATTGTAGTGGTGTATAGAGCCAAAAATGTTAGAATTGTGTCGATGTCCCAATATTTATGGACCTGACTGTGTATATATATATATATATATATATATATATACCATAGTTTGTAGACTCTATAACATTAACACAGACTAAATAATATACACTGATTTGGATTATATATTTACCACAAAAGAAAATGTACCAGAACACATTTTGGCCTGAATTTAGGAAAGATTGTTATTAAATTTTATAACAGAAACAAGAAAAAATGTGGGTGTTTTTTCAAAATTTTCTGTATATTTTCGTTTATATAGCAAACAAATAAAAAAAAACCCAGTGGTGATTAAATACCACCAAAAAGCTAGCTATATCTGTCTAAAAAAATGATTAAAAATTAATTTAATTAGATTTTTATATAACAACTTTTTTTTAAAGTTTAGCTCCTGGCCAGGGACGGACTGACAACTCATGGGGCCCCCTGGGCAATAGGGGATCATGGGGCCCCTGTGTCCTTGCCCAAACTCAAAAAAG